CAAAATACCAACTTCTGCGCATGGGCCACGAAGTTTCAATCGCACTGTACGTGCGCGCCCGCACGTGGTATTTTGTGGAAGAGCCACACTCAAGGGGCCACAGAGCCGCATATGGCTCGCGAGCCGCAGTTTGCCGACCATTGTTCTAGGATGAAAGGCCTGACCCGAGTTAGGCCTGGGCGTGGTCAGGCCCCTGGTCCCTCCTCCCGGCCTTAGCGGTTCTCTCTCTCTCTCTCTCTCTCTCTCTCTCTCTCTCGGGGTTTTCTGTGTAGACGTCTCTCTTGCGCTGCCTGGCGTGCGGAAGCTGGTCCTCGGGGAAGCCTGTGCCGTGGCAAATGCTCCGTGACAGAACCGGGAAGCCACCGGGACGCGCTGATGCACAGAGGGCTGAGCCGTGTCCCAGAGGCGTTGCCAGGGGAGCTCAGTGCTGGACTGGCCCCCCGCAGACCACCTGCCACAGAGTCACCCCGGGGACAGCAGGCCAATGTCGGTCTTCCCACCCACGGGTGAGTTCGGGGGGTCAGGTGGGCCTCTAGGGGTCAGGAACTCGCCCCCACTGCCCCCACGACCCTCCCCACCCCAGTGCTGAGGGCAGCAAGGCGCCCACACCGCCCACAGTGGGAGTCCCCGCCCTCTCACGGGCCACCTCTGGCCAGCAGAGCCTAGGTCACCTGCTGGGTCCCCAGGAAACTGGAGACTTGATTTCTTATTTCCCTCATGGAAAATGGGACTAACGGCCAGGAGTTCCTCCCAAATACAGGAAGGCCGCTCAGCAGGCATGAGCACCCCCAAAGGTCACAGAGGAGGCCCAGGCCTTGACTGCCAAGTGTCCCTCAGGCCCAGTGAGCGCACGGGAGACAGAACCCGGAGAAACTGCGCCCTCTGCTGGCTAGTCCTCCCGTCAGATGACCCGGCGGGAGCTCGAGTCTGTTTCAGAGTCTGACAGGCAGGACAGAGGCACCGCCCCATCAGTAACCGGCAGGAGCAGCACCCATGGCTGCTGCTGGTTCTCAACACGCAAGAGTCTATAAACCGCATGTCATCACGCTGGGCTGAATAATGGAGGTTAATTATCACAAAACCCCATCATTCCAAACTCCTTTGCAGAGAGGGTTTCATGGCTGAGAACGAAGGCTGGGTGAACTGCACTTCCCACCGCGGAGTTCTACCTCTGCCAAGTGCCCTGTCCTGTCCCCGAGGATGTGCACAGGTAAGGACATCACGTGGCAGAGACAGGCCCCAAGGACAGCCCACCTGGGGTCAAGGCCTGGCTCACACCTCCCTTCTCTTCCAGTACCTTTACCAGGAGGTGAGTCTGGAGGCAGAGGTGGAAGCAAGGAGAGGCCCGGAGGCCGGGGAAGCTCAGCGCACGTCCCGGCAGCCTGCTCCTGGGCCTGGGCCCTGCGGCTGCAGCACCAGCGGTCGGGGCAGCTCCTGGGACCCTTCCCACTGGCACGTGCTGTCCTCAGCACCGCTTCCCTGGGGACAGGGGCACCTGCAGCCCTCCGCGAGCGGGGGCCACTGAGGTGGGCGTCAGGCAGAGGTCACTGCTCTGGGAGAGCGGACGAGGCGCTGCGGGATGCGGGGAGCACGCTCAGCCAGAGCTGAGGGCAGAGCAGCCTCAGTGTTTGCTGCGTTCTCCCCGAGAACCCCGAGAGCGCAGTGGTTTCTGGAGAATGTTTAGGAGACCACGGGAACCTTCCCTCCAATCCTTTGTTAGGAAGAGGAGAAGCACCGGCGCATCCTCAAAAGCTGTACGTGCGGATAATTTATAAATAATAAGTTAATCTGAACTTCAGAGCAGGCTCGCATTATATCACATGGAACGTAAGAAATCCACAGGGCACACTTGTATTTGGATCTGACATCTCTCACGGGCACACAATGCCTAAAGTTGTTTTTATCTATTAAATTTGGTACAGTATTAAATTTTTATGATTCTTTCCTCCCAAAGCATCTGATTTTCTTCAAGTAAACAGACCAGCCTGGTTTCCCATCCATTAGGGGACACATCGCTGGAGGAGAAAAGCAGATTTATTTTGGAAAGTTGATTCTGGCACATCACCCGAGTCCCTGAGCACAGGCACTCTGAACCTGCACGTCCTTGTCCGTGAAGCAGGCGTGGAAGATGCCTGCACTCAAAGGACGACCAGAAACACCGACGGACAGCTGGCCAGCAGCCCGACCACCGCCCAGCACGTCAGCGCAACCAGGCCCGTCTGTGCGGGTCCAAGGGCCTCTCCCCTTCCACGCGCTCCTGTCTGAGACCAGGAAGGACACAGGCCTGTATCCTCCTTGGCCTCGTATTATCCACTCTCCAGTTAACCTGATTTTCAAAAACGGCTGATCAAGACCCGAGGGTGAGGGGAGGGTGTGCGGGGATACAGCCGATGACTGATTCCGCATCTTTTAGTAACTCCTCCCCACACACAGCTGACAGTCTGGATGAATGACCTGGGCCCTGGCTTTCTATGGGTTTTTAGCGGTCTCTGACAGTTTGGGGAATCTAGGTAAAGCTTGTCCGGTGCCAGCCCATCAAAGGTCAGGCCCTGTCCACAGTCAGGTGTCTGTTATAACTGAGATGATAAAGCAAGATTCTTTCTCGATTCTTCTTTCAACATCAAATGGAGAACTCGTGCAGGGACCCCAAGTCCTAAATTCTTCAGTGCCGCCATGTCACAGGGCAGCAACATGGCAACCCTGACAGTCAGCAGCCAAAGGCACGAGGCACTGAACGGGCCACCTCAACACACTTGCAGCAGCTTGGGGTTCTGGAAATGATCTGCTTTCCCATTTTAAAAAGGATTTACAGAAACTAATTACAAACCATGTGGGTTTGGGGGTGAACCACACACAAAGCCCATGAGGTTGAGGACCTGGATTTGGTCACATGCCATTCTCTTCCTTCCATTCACTTCGTTCAGCAGGACCGAGGCGTAGGACGGCCAGACGAGGGCCGACGCTTGCGTCTCCCCGTCACCATGTGTCACGTGTGTGAGCAGGCACGGCAGGAGTTTGGAGAAACACAGGGCTGCACAGTCACCCGACAGACACGGAGGCCCCAGCAGCCTCGGTGGAGAGGGTCACCAGTGTCTGCAGGTCGCCTCTAACAAGGGGCTGAGACGCGGCTTCTTCAGGGGTGGCCGTCCCCTCTGGCTGACAGGCAGCCGGGACTCTGAAGACAGTCTCCTGACCTCCTGAGTTCTCTCCAGGCGGCCCCCCAGCTCGGCCATCACCCCTCCGTAACATGAACTGAGGCCGCTCGTCCCCTCTCGTCTGCCCTGTGGTGTGGAGGGCGAGGGCTCAGGTGCTGGCCAGCAGGCATGAACTTTCACCCACATCCCAGCAACCACGTCTGAGCAATGTGGCAGACGGCACGGGATCAGGTGGCTGCGGCGTGGAATCGATTTTGCTGGAGAAGGAAAACCCCCATCAGGCCATGCTCCTACGGACCCACCCACCGCTCCCCACTGTCTGTCACTGGAGACACACACTGTGCTGTGATGCCGCCATCAGGCCCTCCTGGGAGAGGACCGACAGGCAAGCTGACCGCCACGTCCAAGCCGAGTGACAGGCGGTAAAAGGCCCAATTAAATGGTGCAGATGAGAGAGGCACCAGCCGAGCCCTGAGAGGCTTCCCCGGGGAGGTGGCATCTGGCTGAGCGGGAGGGGCCAGGGCCGGCATGGGCGCTGGGAGTGCGGGCAGCGGAAGAGCTTCCTGGTGGTTCAGCTCCGTCCGGTGCCCGGGGGAAGACAGTCCCTCATGGCGACGGCCGGTCGGCAGCAGCGGGCCACGCAGACCAGCTCTCTACAGTGGGCGGCATCTAAGCCTCCTGGGTGTGCCCTCTGACTAGGGTTGCCAGATGGGAAAACAAAAATGTTTTGAACAGCACCTGCTTACACTGGAAGCTATTCCTTGTGTATCTGGTTTCACGTTTAATGGGGCAGCCGGTGTTTTCTAGGGCAGCCCTTCTGATGCACACGCCCATCTCAGCTCTGCCAGGAAGTGGTAAGAAAGGCAATGACTCTATTACCTATCCACCCAGTTGGGGACCCGGCGACCCAGTGAGGCTGTGACCAGCCTGTAATTACAGAGAAGAGTAGCCCTTCCCCCCGTGCCCCCGCCCTGAGTCTCATACATGCTGTAGGGGGGAGAAGAGGTGACAACGAGGTGGGTGATAGACTGACCCCTGAAGGGAGCGAGAGACTGTGACAGGCAGAGATGGAGGAAGCACGGTTAAGGCAGAGATCAGCCAGGAGGGCAGCAGCAGAATTCCAGAAGCGTGTGGGGTATACATGGGACCCAGGACGGAGGGGTTAGGCAGCAGAGGAGGGTGAAGGACGCAGTGCCAGCATGCACGTTAGAGCATCTAACGTCACCACATCCCATAATGATCCTCCCAGGTTCACAGATACAACCAAGGCTCACGGAGGGTCTGGCATTGCTCAAAGCTGCAGAGATGATGAACGTCAGGGCCAGGACAAGACCCCATTGCTCCGGGCTTCGCCACGCAGCCACGGGGAGCAGTGCCAGCTCCCTAGACGCAGGGCAGAGAGCCTGGATCTATACTTTAGGAAAATTAGTTGTAGCCCTGGCTGGTGTGGCTCAGTGGATAGAGCGTCAGCCTGCGGACAGAAGGGTCCCAGGTTCGAGTCTGGTCAAAGGCACATGCCTGGGTTGCGGAATTGATCCCCAGTGGAGGACGTGCAGGAGGCAGCCAATCAATGATTTCCTCTCATCATTGATGTTTCTATCTCTCTTTCCCTCTCCCTTCCTCTCCAAAATCAATAAAGATATATTTAAAAAAAAAAAGAAAAAGAAAATTAGTTGTAGGAGTCAAATTCTAATCGTTGAGGTGAGAAATGGAGGCCCAGGCAGGAGCGTGGGCAGAAAAGAAAGGAGAAAATGGGCTCCCTGTGGGAGGGGTGGGGGGGCGAGCCTGACCCCCACCCTCACCCCGGGGTCTTAATCAGCCCCTCCCACGCCCGCCCCCCATAGTCACAGCAACAGCACGCTGTCCCCACACTGCGGGTCTGGGTCAATGACCAATCTGTCCTCTGCTTTGTCCCCGGAGCAGAGCGGGCCGGGCTGCCTGCCAGCCGGGGGACGCGCCAGCCGTATTTCACAGGCCCGCGGCTCCGTCAGCCCCTCATTGTTCTCATTTCCCAAGGACCCTGCGCCGGCATGATCTACAGCCTTCCTGACATTTCACCTTCCTCTGCTGAAAAATTCATCCCGGCCGAGTGTGGGAAGCTCCCTCCCGACGCGGGGGCAGGAGATTGATTCCGGTGCCGGTAATACCAGCTGCCACTCAGCCCCCTTCCACGGGGTCACAGGATGAGTTAAGCCAGCGCCAAGTCTAGGGAAGCCTTCTAGAATCTTAATTGAGAAACCATTTTGCCACATATTTTACCTTTATTCTCCATTTGCCTTTATTTATTTTTATTTTTTTATTTTTAAAGGCCCTCTTGCCTCCCTGAGATTTCATTTCCCAGCATGTTGCGAGGTTTTTCTCATTCCCAGAGCCCCTGTCCTCTTCAAAGACAGTCGCACAGTCTCAGGGCTGGTGAGTCCCAGGGCCAGTGTGAGGCGAGTGACACGGACAGCGCCCTCGGTCGTGCGGGGTGAGCTGCCACCTGCCCTCCACCTCCTCCGTCCCCAGGGACCTTCTGAGAACGCAGGTCTGAGGCCGAAGCCCCCTGCTCTGGGGCGTGGATGCCCTAAGGGACACAGACATGCCCTCCGCCCCATAGTCCTGCGTGGGGAGGACCCCGGGCCCAGCGTGGTCACGGCTGAAC